TAATACATGAAAAAAGGAATATAATATACAATTACCAGACCTCATAAAAACAGAATACATTTATAATACCAGCCTTAAATACATAAAAAAATAAATAAATACAACTTGATTTTATATAGCACCTTTAAATGTGGTTTTCTCAAAGCACATTTGGTTTGAACAAAAATAAAAAATAAAAAATCTAAATAAATTAAAAATGTAAAAAATTCATATCATAAAGTCATCATACTGGTTATTGGCTATAGCGTAAAACTAGATTTAGAAAATCTGAGTGGCGCTGGTCACCATGGTGATAGAGCATTGTAGGTGGTTGCCAGGGTGTTGCTATGCAGTTGCTAAGGTGTTATGAGTGTTTTTATTTTGCTGCTATGTGGTTGCTAAGGAGTTTTAGATGGCTGCCAGGTGGTTTTCCATTCTCATATCTCAATAATATTGTAGTCTCTCGACATGGCCTCCTTCGGTTTAAAACTGTGGGATTTCTCTGACCTGTTTAATCATGCACTAGGCAAAAATCATTCATAAATCATCCATGCACTAGGCAAAGTTCAGTCACTGTAAAGTAAAAGCAGAACTCTCCTCAACAAGCCACACCCTTTTAGGCATCATTCACATCTGTAACATAAACATGCATGATGAATTATGTGCTGGATACTGCCATTCCAACAGCATGTCTCAGCCTGATCTAACAGATAAAGGCACAAGACAGAGTTCAGCAGCATTACAATAAATCCTGCATTATGATGCACTAGACCAAAGCACAGGCCAGGCGGTGTGAAGGTGTCTGACGGGATTCATACCCTCAGGAGTGACTGATATACCCCTCTGAGTGATGGATAGCTGTCAGAGCCATCGAGAGCTATCAGTTCAGCCCCAAGGGGAGCGGTTTGGGACTGTAATAGTGTCCTTAATTGCCACCAAAAACACTCTTTTCTCCAGGTCATTAGACAGATTGGGAATGTGAGCGAGTGTGTCAGGCTTAAAGGGGGGAAACACCTCGAGACATCGCCTGGAAGCGGAGCAGGTGAGCAGCTCCAGAAAATGGTCTATGGACCCTATTATCTCCTGAAACATCTCATCTTCTTCAAACAGCACTAATGGAGCGATGACTGGGTGAAGACTCTGACACAATCCAGTCATTGATCATTTAACTGACACTGGATGTAATGCTTATTGAATATGCTTTCACATCCTGAACAAAGAGCCCAATCTTCAAATACTACACTTCACTTTCTTAAATACTTACAGCCGCCATGTTTAATGTCTGACTACGCAAAACAAAGCTTTCTTTGAGCGTTTAATTCATAAAACATTTATAGAACATGATTAAGAAGTACAAACATTATTCAAATTGACTACAAATTGTGATTGTTCTGATAAAATTCCAATTTATAACGCAATTTAAAAAAAAGCTCCAGGTTTGCTGTGCTTGTTTTAGAGCTGCACAATTTAGCCAAAAATTATATTACTTTTACTTTTAGTCATTTAGCAGACGCTTTTATCCAAAGCGACTTACAAATAAGAAAAAGTAATTAAAACTAAAAGCTAAAACTCTATAAATACTATATATATATACACACATTTAAGAAAATTAAATAAATTAAAAATGACAAATGCATACAACAACATTTCAAAACTAAAACATTTAAATGAAAACAAAAAAATAAAGCTAAAAATCAATTCAAACATACACAAATAAGAAAAAGTAATTAAAACTGAAAGCTAAAAGCTTTTAAGAAAATAAAAGAAATTAAATAAAAATGACAAAGGCATACAACAACATTTCAAAACTAAAACATTTAAATGAAAACAAAAAAATAAAGCTAAAAACAATTCAAAAATATTAAAAGAACAAAAGGTATAATAATGATTCTAACATAACACTAAGCCGAACACCAAAAAACAACTACATAAGTGTATGTACAGCCACACACATATACATATACATGTACATATATATAAATACATTAAATATATATATATACACATATTATATTATATTATTCTAAAACAATAATAATAATAATGGTTATTATCATCATTATTACTATTAATTAAAAAAATTTAACAAAATAAGAGATTACTATTTTAATTCTTCCCTGTAAATTTTTGTTTAGTAATAATAATAACAAAAATAATTTTACGCCAATACTAATATTTATGATTGTTGTAATTTATTTTTTTAAATGTTAAACCTCAGAATAACATCAAGATTTTATTCTGGCGGAAATATGCAGGAAGCCTTTAAAGCTTCTATTTTGTTGACAATAAGCACTTATTGCATTATCAAATGCATGTAATAAGTGTCCCAAACTCACAAACAGATGCAGAGATAGAGTTCATGTGCAGCAGCATTTACAGTATTGTAAACCCAGCCGCTTTGAGACACTGAAAACACCAGATTATGACCTGCTCACGTGTAAAACAACACAGTGCCACGTTTCACTCTGAAACATGTAGTGCATATATCTAATCAAATTGCAGCCTTTGAAGTTTGTTTTTAAGCTTGTGCACAATAGAAAGGAAAGTTGCTAATAAACTGGATGGAAACTTGGCTAATAACACAAAACCAAAAATAAATAGATTTTATTAGTTAACAAAACTATTCTAAACATGACTTCAATTCATAGGGGCTGGGAGAAAAGGATCTTGTCATGATGATTTTTTGACTTAAAATCTTGTTTTCAAGGCTACCAGCTAATGCTGTGGACAGATGACTCACCTGGTGCTGTCCACCCCAGGTTTGATGTATCCTTCCACACAGCCCTCCCATACGCTGTTGGCCATGGCGTTCCCGATGGCCATCATCACCATGCTGAGCTCCACAGGCCAGTCGTCCAGGTCCAGAGACCGTACGCGGGACAGATGGGTGCCCAGGTTCCTGTGCATCCCAGAGCACTCGATACAGATCAGAGCGCCAAGGTTCAGACTGGCCCAGTCCGGATCTGAGAGACAATTGAAAACGTATTTTTATTAAATTATTAAAGTTATTTAATATTCATTTTAAATTGTATGTTATTTTTTAATTATGTTTTATTATTGTAATGTGAGTAAAACTACTCAACAAAAATAGAACAATTATTTTCATTTAATTATTCAAATGAATTTTAATAAAAGTTTTTTATTTTATTATTTTAATTACTTTAATATTATTTGTATTATTTTAATGAGGGTGAAACTACCCAACAAAAATAGAAAAAATGTCTTAAAAGTTATTTTAAATTATCTAAGTTAATTTTATTATTTTTAATTATTTTATTTTTATTATTTTAATGTGGGTGAAACTACCCAACAAAAAAATTATTAAAATGATTTTAATTTTATTTTACAGTACTTTATCACATTATACCTCATGACACTATACAGCAAAGGAAAAGACAAACATATGATAAAATGTCTAATAAAATGAATCTAGCTTCATGTCCAGAAATGGGTGCCGTCACAATGTTTTACTCACTGGGGGCGTCACAGTCTGCACAGAAGCTGTTTCCCCTCATGTTCCTGATGGACTGGATGACCACTGCATCACTCTGGCTTCCTAATCGAGACTACGTGGCATAATAATTCAGATGTCACCGTTTGAAAAGAGCAGAAGGATACATAAGGCATATTAACCTATTTCCACAGTATCTAAATAAACATAATATCATCTTACCTTGTTCTTGCTGCTCTCACAGGACTGTAGACTGGCAAATATCTGGCTCTCAATGGCCTGAACCCAGAGTTCTCTCTCCTCATACGTGGACACCTCAAAGTGCCACATCTGACCCGTCAGGGACACGATGATGAACTCAAATGACTCCTCTTGCTCTGAAACACACCAAACGTGAGATGAGTTTGGACACAAAGTGATTGTTCAATTTGGTAAAGAGTATGTCTGATACTGACAGATTTAAAAATAATAATCAAATTATAAAAAAAAAATGAATGAAATTGCAGATTAAAGAAACAAAAACATAAATACCATTATTTCCAAGTTCGAGATCATCTTCACTAAAGGCTGAAAATGCAAACATTTAAATGGCCAATATCCAAGGTGCATTATGGGTATCTGCGATTAGTGTCAGTTTCTGTTGTTCATCAGCATCGTAAAATCCAAGTGATTAAAAAGGTAAATACATCCATTAGAGTACTTATCTCATTACCAGTGAAGACTCATTATTATTGCAGCTGCCTAAATAGAATATAATGTGGGTTAATCATTCTGGTCACAGTAATTTCCACATCGCAAAAACACACGCGAGGTACTGCAATGTTTCTACCGAGCTCAAATGAGGGGCGAGAGGTGAAAAACAGACCATCATTTCTGCAATTTGCTCAATATTCAGTTCAAAACCATGATTACTTTTGATATGTACGGGACGATGATTGCACACGCGAGTATTACGGCCGATGAAGCTGCATGAGGCCATAATAAGTTCAATTACTGCAGTTGTTCTACAGAAAAAAGGCTGTTTATTAGTATTAAAAACGCACAACATAACACCATTTATTGACGCCCACCGTAAATGATCATTAGCACATTACTGAGGTCTCACGTTTACAGAAATTATCATGAATTATCAAGGTCATGTGCCAACCCCAGTTTTTTTTTTTGGTAAATTTATCCTCTACATTGTGAGATTTTTATTATTTTTTTTAAAATATACATATATTTAACAGGGTTAGCAAGGATAATATAATATAATATATAATTAATATAATAAAATGATTATTAGCACATTAATAAGGTCCAATTTTTTCAATATTTACTTAACAGGGAAATAATATAAAATATAATATAATAATGATTATTAGCACACTATTTAGGTCTCATTTTTAGAAAATGTATCATGAATTATCAAGGAATTATGAAAAAATATATACAAATATAATAAAAAAGAATATGAATATAAACCTTTCACTAACTATTATATAACTATATAATATAAACTCTATTTAGGTCTCATTTTTAGAAAATGTATCATGAATTATCAAGGAATTATGAAAAAATATATACAAATATAATAAAAAAAGAATATGAATATAAACCTTTCACTAACTATTATATAACTATATAATATAAACTAATTTATATTCATATTATTCCTTTTATATATTATTCAATGCATTTAATGCTGACTTTTTGGATTTTACAAATTAAAGCTACTTTATCATGTTTATCATGAATTATCAAGGAATTATGAAATAATATATAAAAATATAATAAAAAATGAATATGAATATAAACCTTTCACTAACTATTATATAACTATATAATATAAACTCATTTATATTCATATTATTCCTTTTATATATTATTCAATGCATTTAATGCTGACTTTTTGGATTTTACAAATTAAAGCTACTTTATCATGTTTATTTGGAACTTAATGGATATAAAACCAAAGGATAAGTTTATTCATAACAAATGAAGATTAGTTGGTACATTGTAGAAACAAAACTTTAAAGTCTCTACCAGATGACACATTTCTGCCATCACTAATACAAACTACACACATAACTTTAAATTCAGATGCAATGTTGAGCGTTTATCTTGAATGTAAAGCATATAAATCTGTATCTCCTCTCATCGCCGATCCATAATCTGCATATGATGACCCAAACACATGCATATCATTGGCAAAGACTCCCGTTCCCATCAGCGGAGCGCATGGCCTCAAGCGAACGGCAACAATCCAATTAGTTTGACACCCTCCTCAATTATCCGATTTATTCACGGGACTTGACTCCAGGTCAGAGATCAATACAGATCCAGCAGCTTTGTGTCTAAATCAAGGACTAAAGGGTGAAGGTCTGTCGCCCCAGTTGATCTCTCTGCTTTGTTTACATTTCATGCTTCTTTTTGCTGGAAATCAACCACAAATGTAAGACGGGATGCACAATACACATGGATAAATATGTTGCACAAAGGTCGATGGAACTACTTTAGTAGTATTTTCCAGAATGTGGTCAAAATAAGGGAACGCATTTCATTTTTAGCACAAATGAAAGCAAAAGTAAATATTTACTTTTGATTTTAGTAATAAGTAGATCGTGCAAATGGCACATATTTTGTATTTTAGTATCACAGAAGGGAATATATTGTATTTGGATAACATTTTGGCTGTCGTGATTTAATTTCTCGCCTGCTATTATGAACAGCAACACAATTATCTGGCATTGCACTGTCCAGTGATTATACACCTCTGCATCTGAACACAGACAATTATTCTGTTGGCTGGCCATCTGATAAATTTGCCATTACAACAGGTAATTTCAATATGGAATTATTCACAAAAAAAACAACTGTGTTTCTGATGTCAGCAGCTTGAAACCACAGAGAAAAAAAAGCTAAGCAACATTCATTTTGTGCATTAATTGTTAAACAGCATACAAAATAACAGTAATTGTTATTTCGGTAATATTTCTTTGAATACAAAGGAGAGACCAAATTTACTGCTAAATTTATAGAGCTTCCTACTTAGAATTTGAATGTACTTATAATGCACCAAAACGCGGTCTAGACAGGTTCACGGGTTTTGAAACACATTCTATACCTCTCTGCTCATAAAATACAGTGGTGATAATATAGTAATTCACATCCAAATTAACAGCAGTTCATTGCAATAAAAAGAAAATCATTTGACCTTTAAAAAAAGAAAAAGAAAAATAGACTAATGAACAAATTCAAATGTTAGGCTTCAAATATTTTACATACATACATATATATATATATATATATATATATATATATATACACACGTTACAGTTTTTCACTAAAAGCAAATAAAAGTACAAAAGCCATTAAATCATTAACTGCGTTTCCATTACCCTTCAAATTGCGTAAATTGAAATTGCGAATTGAAAATACACTTAATAGAAACGCGTTAATTTAGCAAAAACGCCCATATATCACAAAAAAGTTTTTACGCTCGCATGAGGTGGTTTTTCAGACAATTTGAAAAATAAATATTTCGCAAAACTGCAATGGAAACGTTTTTTTCGCATTACCAGGTCACATGGCGTACGTAAAAAGTCATATGATCATTCTTCAATGTACTATAACCTCCAAGAAACACTTCATATGTGGTTGCTCTCAAGTATAAGGGGCTTTCCCTGCCATTAATGCTTAGACTATTTACACTGCACACGTCTGCGGCGGGTTACAGCTCCGAAACGGCCACCGGAGCTGGTCGCAGCCACTCTAGTCAACGCTTGTGTTACCAGTCACGCCACGGTACGTCCCAAAAGCTGCTCTCCGCGCTGCTTCTGTCAAGATACACACATACGCCGCCTTCGATTAAATATAATGGCTAGTGTAGCCAAAATCCGTTGCCATGACTTATCGCGAGAGGAAAAAATGACGCTTTAGTTGCATAACATGGGTTAATGGAAATGCCGTCATTTCGCAATACTTTTTTATCAACATTTATAAAATATCGCCAAAGTTTCGCATAAATCTGTAATGGAAACGTGCCTATTGTGAAACTAGACATATACTACCAAAACCAGACAAAAGTTTGAACACTTGACTGAATTTATAGTAGCATTATCGTAATATGCATGTGATCCAAAGGCTTGTGATATTTAACTTCAGTAAAAAATACTTCAAATTTGTTTCTTTTTTTTTTTAAATACTTAATTTTTTACATTTTTAATTTGGAGGAAAAACATGTCAACAAACTGTGTCAAAACTCTTTAAAAGAATCCCAGGATGCACTGCAGCTGGTTGAGTGAACGTCCAGAATAATCCGAATCTAGACAAAGCAGCTCAAACATACGAGAGTTTTAATTTAATTTTAAATAACATTCGTTGGTTGTTCTCTGTACTTTCATAAGCATTATTTCACAGTACTGATGACTTTCTCTTATTCTAAAATAAGAAAAATGTCCCAAGTGTAGTGAAGGTCTGAGAAAATAAAAGTGAAAATGCACTGCATTAAAGTAAAAAAGAAAGCATTTTATCAAAAAAAAAAAAAAAAAAAAACTACCCAAAGACTCTAAGGTTTGTTAATATAAAATGTGCAATAACACAAGCTCCCAATCAGCCACTGGTGCTCAGAAATTAGCAGTAATGAGACGGAGCAGCGCAGGTTCTGCCTGACTACATCCAGTTAAAATCCAATCTGAAAGACTGGAGGCAAAGAGGGCAGAAACAACTTACCTTAATTAATACGCTACAATAAAAGAAAGATAACAACATCTAAAAGCACAGTCTTTCTCTACTCCTCTCCTCCTGGCCCTTGCGATCTTTCATTCATGTTTCTATTCATACCGCAGTCACATTCAGACACACAGATTATTTCAGCTTATACGCTACTGTTCAAAAGCTTAGGGTTGGAAAGATTTGTTACATTTTTTTGAATGCTCGGATCCTCACCAAGGCTTAATTTATTGGATTCAAAATACAGTAAAAACTGTAATATTGCGAAATATTATTATAATTTAAAATAGCGGTTTTCTATTCGAATATATTTTAAAATGTAATTTATTCCTGTGATGCGCAGCTGAATTTTCAGCATCATTACTCCAGTCTTCAGTGTCACATGATCCTTCAGAAAGCATTCTAATATGCTGATTTGCTGCCCAAGAAACATTTCTTATTATTATCAATGTTGAAAACAGTTGCGCTGCTTAAAATTTTTGTGGAAACCATGAACAATTTCTTCAGGATTCTTTAATGAATAGAACGTTCAAAAGAACAGCATTTATTTGAAATAGAAATCTTTGCTGTCACTTTTGATCAATTTAATGCATCCTTGCTTAAAAACAGTATTAATTTCTTTCAAAAAAGAAGGGTGGGACTTGATTGCACCCATCCGGAATAAAGCATTTTTTTCTTTTGAATAATATGTACTGAAAAATCACGCACAATAAGACCAGTAACCTTTATTGCAACACTAAACACTAAAGATTTTGATCTTTAAGGTGAGATCTACTTCAGCAACACGAATACACAAAAAATCTAAGCAAATTAGCACAGAGAGTGAGAACGAAGGAGAGGAAAAGGAATTGCCAACATTTGCTCAAGTGCATCCCATCTAATGAAAGCAGATGATTCTAGTCCAAACGCCCTCTGGGTCAGACGCCTGCTCCAGTACCACATCTGGACCTGCCAGTGTGACCCGATTGCTATTCTGTCAGAGCATGCGGCCACGCGACCACAAATCCATCAAATCAGCCGCAAGGGGTTTAAGTCAAGGTGTGTGTGTGTGTGTGTTGCTTTACGAACTCCAATAGGTGACAATCTTGAATCTAACACATGTGCTCTAGTACACGAAACAGGTCTGGGCCTATAGAGATGCTAGCTGGTGTCTAAGAATTAACGGGCAGCTGGGAGGAACCAGACCTGCCTGTGCCATCTGTAAATGTCAGTGGCGGCGTTTGCTCATTTTACACATCATTAAAGGCAATATTCCTAACCTGTATTAGAGCAATCAGCATGCGCCCATTACTGACACAGGCCTGGGGGGGATACAGGCCAAACACTGAGGAGGCGAGAACGCACACACCATCTCCATCAGACACACACACAGTGTAAACAATAACACCCTTTACACACACACACACACACACACACACACACGACACTTCAGACAATGAACTGAAGGTAAATGCAGACATAAACACTCCCCAACAATCATCTGATGTACATGAATTTACAAATATATACATGCAGTCGCATTTATCTTCTTTAAAAGGTCTAACAGAGACACAGGGCTTCAAGGAACCAACACCACTGGTCCAAAAACACATGAAGCTTCATTTGCTGCTGCCTGAAACCGGGCAAGTGTATTTATCAGCCTGAAGGATCAAAACAAGTAATGCCACCTGGACATCCTTATACCAGTATAAAAACAATATATATATAGATTTCGAAGTAAAAAAAAAAAAAAGATAGGACTAAATACTTTGTATTTAGGGCAAAGGGGAATTAAGAAGCTGATTAGGCCTTGATTTGTTTATTATCAGAGATCGTTCAATATTGCTTTTTTATATACTGATTATTTATATGTTCAGATGTCTGATAATCGATAGGCAGAGTCAATACAAATTGTTTTAAATTGTTTATTGTTTTATTTTCTGCCACAATAATAACTAAATGTTCACTAGACTACAAAAATAAAAACATAATTAAAATAAATTTATGAAATATTTAACATTTAAATACATTAACAAATGAGATAAACTGATAGCAATTTATTCAAGGATCCAAGCGCCCCCCTCCACCCCTCCCATCTCTCCCACTCCTCTGCCTTCAGCAGATACAACTTGCTCCATGTGAGTGATTCTCATACTTAAGCAATATGTCTGTATTCTGCATGCACTCACCAGAACAGACACGCACACACTAATAGAACCTTTCCGACTGCACAGAGGCAAAAAACAACGTTCATGATGGAAGTTCGTAGGAAATTGCGTCCGCACACACATTCAGCCGCTGCTATTCTGCCAGATGACCAAGCCAAGCTTAAGAAAATCAGAGGTTAGCCCTCGTATTCTTGAGGAACTGTCTGCGTAATGAGACTGAACGAGCGCTAAGAATGTCTTTAACTCCTGCTGCAATGGGAAATGACCACGTTTGCGATCCCTTGAGCTTGTAATGTCATCCATACACATTTAAAACGAATAAAACAGTCACAATAGTGGCGCTGGATCATTTGAGGCGATTTCAGCTCATGCAAAAACACAATTAAACTTGATCCTGGTCGCAGCTAAAACGGACGTGATCCAGAAGAGCATGATGAGGGGAAAAGCTATGAAAATGTTGACAGAATCTGTCTTTAGAGCACCTACAGACATTATCATTTAATGCTCGATTATGGTCTTTTTGTGACTTCAAAGATGTACACTGGCTCTAGGTGGATTTATAAAATGGTTATCCAAAAAAACCCATTTTTTAAGGAAGTGTCTGTGTCAACGTCATTGATGGACAGCGTCCATCTAGTTGATGGATTTGGCCTATTGGCAACAAAACAGCCTGAGGGAAGCGCTATTGTTTCCTCAATAACAACCAATTAGGAGACTGTATTTGTCATTGGGACGGGCAATAAAACTCAAGTGGTCTTCTCTGTTGCATGTGGCACAGAACAATGGATCAAATGGAAGCATTTACTAATTCAGAAAAAGATTAATTTATTTTATTAGCCACAGGCCAATTGGACCTTTTTTTTTATAGCATTTTGTCACTAAGACAAGCCTACAACTGCTGAAACAGTTACTGATGCCCAAAAACTACTGGTGTTTGTGTTGATTTGTTGTTACCAATGGGACAGTGAGATACAAGCGATATGGTACATGGTCATTTTTTTGTACAAACACAAACTTGTACAGTTTTGTGTCCCTTTACCTTCATTCCCTGCAGAAAGGCCGTCTGGTTTGGTGATGCCTGTGCTCTTTTTCCGTCTGTGTTTCTTGCGGTTGGCATGAGGTGATGGTGGAGGCTCAAGTTTGGGACTGGTGGCGCTGCTCATGCCAGGGGCGGAGCTGAGAGGATCTGCCATCCCATTGGCTGAAGGAAGAAAAACAGACATGAAGTTAAACCAATACTAGAATACCTGATTACCTGAAATCCTTACAGTCTGAGTCAAATTCTACAAACATTTTTACAACTTTTTTTTTTTTTAGATTTCTTATTTTATTAAACTTTATATAAACTATGTATTTTATTGCACATATTAAACAAATATAAAACAATAATAATAATACATATTTGTTTATAAATACTATTTTTGTAATTTTATACACTATATATACTGTATATATATATATATTATTAACATTATATATTTTATTATTAACTATTATATATATATTAATATTTTACATTTTTATTTATTTACTGCATTTAATATTGTAACAATAAAAACACATCATACATTTTATACATTATTATTATTATTATTATACACACAAACATCATTCTGACTTTGATTTTGGTTCAATTGAAATAAATGTGCACGCTAATGCTATAGTGTGTTTTTCATCACAGGCTTTTTCTGACTTGTTTTTTTGGCAAAATATACAACAATTATTTTATTTATATTATTGTTATTATTTTATATACATTTATATTCATTTTTTATTTATATATCTTATTAGTATTATTAATACTAATTAAAATGATATATATATGTACAACAACAACACATAAAATATACATTTAAATAATATATTAGTTAAATATGACCCTGGACCACAAAACCAGTCATAAGGGTCAATTTCTCGAAATTGAGATTAATACATCATCTGAATAAATAAGCTTTCCATTGATGTATGGTTTGTTATGATAGGACAATATTTGGCTGAGATACCACTATTTGAAAATCTGAAATCTGAGGGTGCAAAAAATTCTAAATATTGAGAAAATCGCCTTTAAAGCTGTCCAAATGAAGTCCTTAGCAATGCATATTACTAATCAAAAATTAAGTTTTTATATATTTACGGTAGGAAATTTACAAAATATCTTCATGGAACATGATCTTTACTTAATGTCCTAATGATTTTTGGCATAAAAGAAAAATCGATAATTTTGACACACAATGTTTTTTTGGCTATTGCTACAAATATACCCCAGCGACTTAATACTGGTTTTGTGGTCCAGGGTCACAAATATAAGTGATACACACACACACACACACACACACACACACACAAAAAACAATAATATAAAAACCAAAAAATGGTGGCTTCCTAGCAAAACTGAGATACTAATTTGTTTGAAAACACAGCTGATCACATATTATGTTGTCATCTCATAAACAAGGTTACTGCTCGACTGAGGATTTTTCCTTAATTTTGGACCCTGGTTACCTGCTTCCACCACATTTTACAAGACAAGTGAAGATCCACAACCAGTGAGGAAAACAAGAGCTGGACCACACCTCCGTTTCACCTCTATTAGCTTGACGAGAAGGGGACGTGCACGTGAGTAACAAATGATGATTTGCTGTTGCCCGAGGACCAACGCTGTAATGGGAGACGCCACACGAGCACAAGAGAGGTTGGGTTGGGTGTAAGGTGATTTTATAGAAGCGATATTAACCTGCCGCCCCACGCTAGTGTGTTTCTGTGACGCGGTAAGAAAAGGGGGTGCCAGTAGGGAAGCCACGGCCATCTTTCTGAGCTTCATGACACTTCGACATCATTTTTGGGCACCCTCGGGACACCATTACCCACAACCCCCCGACCAGCCCAGGGGCAGAAGGGCCTGGCAAAGTGGACCCTATATTGTTAGCGGCCCTCAGAAACACACATGTGGGAAGCCTCCTCCATTGTCTTGGCATCAAAAGCTCATTGTAGTGTTGCAAACTCCATTCATCTCCACAGGCCTGGGGTGTATAAGAGTGTGTGCGCGTGCAAATGTGTGTGTGTGTGTGTGTGTGTGTGTGTGTGTGTGCGACGACGCTCGGGTCTGGGAATGTCTGAAACCCACGGAGCCAAATAACGCATATTCTAATGGCACCAACAACCATTAGCCTGTGTAGAACATTAGGCGTAATTTGGGGGTTTACCTTGAGGGATCGCGAGGCTAGCATGCTCTTTAAAGAGAGAGAGATGGAGGC